ATCTATAGTTTGATTTAAAATATTTTTCAAAAAAGCATTCTAATTCTATGTATTGATTAATCTTAAATAATTATCTACTTTCATTTACTATAACAATTGGGTCAAGCCTTCATATCTTTAGATCTTTAGCCAGAGTCTAAAAATAATAAATTGAAATATATATTTATGGTTGATTTTTGCAACAAATATTATGATATCATTTGATTTTTGAGATATTTAATAAAATTAGTTTTAAATTTTATTTATCATTCATATATGACCTTTTTAAATTATTATACTCTTTTTTAATTTTGATTTTTTGATAAATCATTGTTAAATGATCATCATTTAAAAGTTTATTTCTAATTTAATTGGAGGAGTACTCTTCTTAACCTGCCTTTGAATCTATAATGTATCCATAAATTATTTTGGATTTTAGATATTACAAGAAGGGACTGGAAAACAGGAGAGTTTTTTGAATCAGCTAATATCAGAATTTCTTAATATGAAGAGAATAGATATTAGGAAAATGCCTGTACTGAGGAAGAGAGAGAGACAAATAGATAAAATTGAAAAAAAAAGATAGGATATACCAATTAAAAAAAGAATCTAAGTTTGGATTAAAATAGTTGCTGAAAGATGAGTTGATTATGGAGAGAATGATCTTTAATTATCGACAGACTATGTCAATATTTTAAATTATAATGAAAGTTCTAAATATATATTTTAATAGGGTCTTGGAATGAAAGAATAATATTGGTTTAAAAAAGTTTTATGAAATCTGGAAAAAGAATTCAGATCAATCAGGGTTGCCTATATTAGGGTTATATCGCACGATTTAATAAATTAAACTAATGTTCAATTAAAATAAAGAAAATAATGTTAATAGGAAAATTGAAGCTCTTTAAGGGTTATAATACACTGTTTATTAATAATCTTAAAAAAAATAATAATTAGATTTAAAATTTAATAACATTAAAGTTCTGCCCTATGACCATTTCTGTGAATATTTATTATAATGAGCTCTTTAGAAAGAATTAGGTAAAATAAACATTAATCTTTTTATGAGATTAAAAAATGTTACAGTATGCAATCTAAAAAGAGCGAGATGAAGGCTTCGCAATTCTTCAAAAAAAATTGATTCAGAGGAGTTTTTGATTTACCCAACAATTAGTTATTGAAACAATCTTTTTTTAGATTTTAGGTCAAATATTTACAGTTCATGCTGAAGAAAAGACTATTAACATATAGTAACTATTAGAGATTCAAGAAACCTGAATGAGCAGAGACTAAGATAATCAATGAAATCTTAAAGGTGTTTGGTTAGAGAAGATATTAAAGCAGTTAGATTCATAACAAGTTTAATTACATTAAAATTTGGATTGATCCAGAATGATGAATATTTATCAATATGTAAATGAATTTATAACACATAGAGAGGAAATGAAAAAAATCAATAAATTTAAATCATGATTGGTAAAGAAAAATCTAAAGTATACACAATTATGTATAAGATATTATTAAATAAATAAAGAAGTTAAGATTGATCAAATAATAGAGGAATTTTATGAAAATCTGCTTGATATATAGATCAAATAAAAGGTAGACTATAAATTCAATTTGATATCCCATTATAACAATATTCTTACTTAATTTTATTGTAAATATTTTTTTAGTAATCGTTGTCTTTAACAATTATGATATATTAAATTAATTTAATCAGTTAATTCATTTCTTTGATAAATACAGCTTGATCAAAATAGGAATAGCACCTTTTGTATAAAGCTCTAGAGTTATTATATATAATTAAATCATTAAATAACCTAAAAGCCTTCCTAGAAGCTTTGAATTTAATGAAGTATCAATTTTCAAGATAAACTCCAGTATTAATTTCAGGAGTATACGTAGGTATTAATAATATATTATTTATTTGGGAGTACTAACTATTTTGGTAGTCTTAGATTTGTGATTTAGGCATTTGTCTATTATTATTAAATAGGGAAGTTACTTGTGATATTTGCGAGCGGAGATCATATTCTAATTAATAATTAAATGAAGATATGTTGATCTGAACTATCCTTTAAACTGAATTAAAGTATTTTTTCCGATTATACTAAGAACGGAGAGGTTTGCGGATAACTCACATTTCAAATATTATTTTCTTATGCTACCACAAGACTTTCATTAATTTCTATTTCTTAGTCTCATTCAAATTTCTACATTTTTTTTTCATTTTATTAATTCTTCAATTATTTGTCATTATCATGATAGAGATAAAGAATTATATTCAAATTATAAAATTTATTTTTAATATCAGCTCTAAATAATTCATATCAAACTGGAATTGGTTGCTTTGGTTTCGGAATTTAAGTA